AAATCGAGGCCGATAAAAGAAGGGCAGCCGCGGCTGACGCCGAAGCCTACCGCCGAGATACTGCCTTGCCATCCTTGGCCAAAATCATGACTAAAAATGAGATCACGGAAAATGAACTAGATGCTGCCACCCAAACCCAATATGAAAACTTAAAAAATGGAGAAATTACCGAACCCGACGCCATTATTGCGGCCGAAAAATTAATTACGGAAAAAATTAGCCAGCAAGGAGCCAGTAAAAAATTAAATCATCTCCTCACCCAAGCCAAAAAGGCCTTAAAATCCGGCCAAAAAGCCCAAATAGAAACAGCCTTAAAAGAATTAGTAGCGCTTACAATTGCGGACAACGTTTATTGGCAACAAGCCTACGAAGCACAGCCGGAGACTAATTCCTTATTATCTCAACTCCGAAATTATTCTGGACAGAACAACACCAAAAGCCCAACCCCAGGGTTTTTTCGCCCTCAAGTGCTTGTTCTGCTCTTTTTAGTTCTCGCTTTATTGGGTGGAACAATTTTCTTAATCGTTCGTCGCCGACAACGCCAAAAGAAGTTAAAAAAGTAACCACCACTAACTCGGCACCCGACTAGGGCTGAACCAAGAAAAACGCGGATTAGAGATAAAAAAACACAGACAATCTAATCAAAAAAACTTTCTATTTTCTGATAATTCTCTTGGTAAGCCGAAATAGTTGTCAGCAAATTAAATCCTTTTTTTACCTTTGAGAAAATTCTTTGCAGGTTATTAGCCATAAAATAGACATCTCAATTTAAACCCCCCTTGCCTTCGCAATAGACCTGATAATAAAGAAACAAAAAAAGAATGCTAATGCCGGAAATTATTAATTCTGGTATTTGATAAAGAGTCACTAAAAAATTAAGACTAGTTATTTGTTGAGAATTGTTGTCTAATGTTTGGTGTAGTTTTTTCAAATTTTGGGTTGGTTCAGAAAATTGTAGTCCTTCTAATCAAGTCTTTATTTGTGCCTTCTCTAAATTTTGGTAATTTTTCTTTTTTTCTAGGCTAGTTTTCCGCAAAGAACTAAAAGAATAATGAAAAAAAGTATATCAAATTAAGTTGACTAAGACAAAAATAATTAGCAAAGGAATTAATGGGAACAAATTATAGGAATTAATGAGAAAATATAGACTAAACACTGCAAAAGATATATCAACAAATATTTCAAATAAATCCACTGGAATAGTGATAAATTGACGAGAAAATTCTGGCACAATATTATTAATTATATACACTTTTTCATCAGGATTTTTTTTCAAGTCTTTATTTTTAGAGGCATGTCTTAGTAATTTTTTAGTCAAGAGAATGCTAACCTGTCTCTCATAATTTTTCTTTCAATAGTTAAGGAACAAATGAATAATTATTTTCAGCGGAAAATAAAGTAAAAAAAGAATAAATAATAATTTATTTCAATCCACATGTATCTTGCCATCCACAACCTTTTCAATAAGTGGGTATTTACCAAAAAGATAAAAAAAATGCCCCCGGCCCCGGTCATAAGATAAATTATTAACTAAATTAAAACGGATAAGAAAAGGTATATAACTAACGAAAAAGGCGAGCAAAAAAAGCAACAAAAATTTTCATCGGAATTTTTTGTGAAGGGATTTTAACAATTTTTTGGAAAGCACAATAAATTATTTTTTTAACGAACTTTTTTTAATAAATATTTTTATATATGCGTATTTGTTAGGCAAAATGAAAGAAAGAGAATAAAAATTGGAACCGTGACTGAGCGGCCTAAGGGAGCAGACTGCAAATCTGTTATTTCGTCGGTTCGAATCCGACCGGTTCCTCCAAAATATCTCATTTTTTATGGATGTTTGGTTGGATAGTGGGGTTTCTCGTTAGTGTGTTTTGAGAACTTTGAGAAAATTAGGTTATTATTAAAAGTAAAGTATGTCATCAACTAATAAAAAAATTTTCAGTATCAGTCTTGATAAGGAAACTAGAAAAATAATAAGTGGTTGGGCTATGATTAGCCAATTGGATAGCCAAGCCAATGCTAGGCTCGGCAGAGGTAAATGGTATGCTACTCGCTATTTTTCTCGTGAAGAAGAAGATGGTGGTCTAACTTTTTCTGTTGAAGTAGAGATAGTAGAAACCGAATAAAAAAAATAAGATTATAAGTTCATTACTGAATCTTTTTATATAAAAAAGTGGATAT